ATCTTAAATATTTTCTATGTTCCGGTGCAATCGGAATCATATAATACGCGTCTTGTAAATCAATTTTTGCCATGTAACAATCTGGAAATATTATCTGCTTAACCATTCTGTGGTCCTCCATTTTAAAATGTGGAGTCTCCATATAATTATTTAAAACTTTCAAGTTAATTATAAAACGACCGGAACCATCCGGCTTAGGAACAACAAAAATGGGAGACAAGAATTGGCCATCGCAGTGGTCAACCTTATGAATTGCTTCAATATCTAACATATGATTAATACACGTTACTATTTGATTCTTTTCTGCTACACTAAACTGTCTAACTTTAGGGGCAACCGACTGAATTGGGGGCTGACATTTAAATGGTAAATGATATCCGCTAATTGCATCTATAACCTCTAGATCTTTAGTAAGTTTTATCCACTCATCGATATGATTTGCTAAACTTCCAGCACGAACCTTCATTTGTTGTACTGGTGCTGCTGCGGTTGACTGTAGTTTCGATTCCGAGATTGGAATGATCCTCTTCTGTACTGGTTGCCCCCTCCTCGATTGTAGCTGAAGGGGGCACCTCTCGAGTTTAAAGACTTGTAACCTCTTGTGTATGGTGTGAATCGAACCGTTGGTTTCATTGTAGACCGAACTACGTTTGCTGTGACCCGAGAATTTTTTAATTGTTCTGGCAGATTGTCCCCAAAGAGCCATTCTGATGCCAGATTAGTCTCCGAGCAAATTCCAGCAAAGTCCTTATTTAAGATTGGTTTAATCTCAGCTCGTCTTTTCTGATTAAAATCCTGGTTCAGATTTCCTAATACTGAGCTTAGCTCCATAGTTGTTTTCAATAAGTCCTCCCTTAGCGGCTTAGCAATTCTTTTTATAAATATGAATCAGATTATTACTGAGGAATGGACAAATATTAATATATCTAGTTTATTTGTTTACTCACTGCTCCTTTGTTGTAAAGAGTTTTTCTGCCAATTTTGTTGCTATAATGGATGCAGTAGACACATTTTGTTGCAATAGTTGACTCGCAAAGTCCGTCTGCTTAGTCTTAGGAGGAAGAATCGGCCAAATTTCTCGATTAATCTTTGGAACTCCTAGTTCTTTGCAGTTACTCGGAAGCAGGAATTGTTCTTTGATTTTTGAAATCATAGGTTTGGGATATCGTGATGTGAATAACTTGGAAATGGATTTGCAAACATCCTTGTTTATTTCTGGCCCAAGTTCCTCCGCTGGCTGTATTCCATTCAAGACCTCCATCATGTCCTGATCCTCATTAGCATCGATATTTTCAGCTTCAGTCACTTTTGACTTGTCAATGAGATTTAAAATCGGATCTGTATCATCACATCCTTCAATGTCGGAAGGAGATTGGATTGACTGTGAATCCACTTCAGAAGTATTACACTTCAGCATCTCAAGCAATTGATTAAACTTTTCAGGCAATTCTTTCAAAGGTTCTAGTGCCTGCTTGTTAGCTGCAACAGAGTCTGATAATGTTTCGAGTTGCTTTTTAAGAGGTATTTCCTTAGCCTTCTTCATATTTTCTTTACTGCAAATAATTACAAATTTGTCAGCCTTTATTTTATGAGTGAGTTTTTGGAACATTGTCCAGACATTAATCCGTGATCAAATCATCGGATGAGGCTATTAGTAGGACAATGCCCGCCTCCAGATCTATTTGGATTATCCTTTCTATTTAGTAGGCTTTCTTGTTGGCGTATCAGTCATTAAAATACTGTTCGTGACTTCGTCATCGAACGAGGCAATTATTGGGACAATGCCCGCCTCAAAAGTCAATTAAAATTTGTCGCGGAAAATTATCTTACTTGGTAAATTACTTGGAAGTCTTACCTTGAGCCATCCTCGCCATCTTCAGGTGTTTTTGACCCTTGACCTTGAGTTCTTGACATTTTTCCAATCAAAATTTGAAGAGCCAGAGAACTACTTGCGTATCTGAGCAGACCGAGAAAGGCAATGAAGAAGAGGAGCCAGCCCATGCACTGAGGGAGTACTTCGCTTTATTTAGTCTCTTTAAAACTCGGTCTGAGCTTGCTGATACCAGGCAAACTACATATGTATGTATCGGTATATGGATACCGAGTGGTTGTAGTATAGCGAAGGATTAATTTGTATTTCAGGAAATAGAACAAAATTGTAATGAAACACAGGAATGAAATGTACGATTCTTACGTATTTCGGAATCCAGAGCAGGATATATTAAAATCTAACTAACCTATTTTCAAATAATAAATTTCTAAAATGCATGAAACGTCGTCAAAATACGACACTAAAATTGCAGAAATTTATTAATTCCCGTATTTCCCTCTAAATTTCGAAGTGACGGCAAAATAATTTTTAACACGGGAATAAAATGTGTACGATTCATTTTTGGGAATTGGAATTAATAGCAACTATTTGACACATCTAATTTACCTATTTTCAAAATAATAAATTTCTTTAATGCATGAAACGTCGTGGAAATACGACAATAAAATTGTAGAAATTAATTAATTTCCGTAGTTCAATCTAAATTTTGTTATATTTCTACAAATGGAACAAAATTGTACTGAAACATAGGAATGAAATATACAATTCTTACGTATTTCGGAATCCGAACTGGAGCAGGATAAAATCTAACTTACTTATTTTCCAATAATAAATTTCTAAAATGCATGAAACGTCGTCGAAGTACGACACTAAAATTGTAGAAATTAATTAATTCCCGTATTTCTCTCTAAATTTTGAAGTGCCAGAGCAAAATAATTGTTTGGGTTCTGAAGTGGTGGCACGTTGTCAATAATATTTAGTTTATGTTTCAAGTGACTTTGGATGGATTAGACAGTTGTCGATGGTGTGATGATACTCTAGAATTTGTAGAATTTCTGGAGGGGAAAGTAAATGAGATGTGAGCGACTATGTATTTACACTTATTTTACATATTACGAGGGGAGACTTCAAGTGCAAATGGAAATGACAGCAGAAATCTCCTCCAAATTTTCAAAATTTCCGAAATCATGCTGGACGGATTAATATCACGCTTGCCCAAAGTAAACACGGAAATGACGATTTTATCAAATATCTAACTTCCCCATAAAACTTTTCCAGTGCGCAGTTAATTGCCTAAAATCCGCTCATTTCCTCGTTAATAGTCATGATTGCGATAACTGTGGGCAATCGAATTTTAATATTCAGCAGAATTATCTTATCTTGGCCGAGATTATTACTTACGAACTCTTTTATTTTATTGTTATTATTGCCAAGTAGAAGGTTATTACGCGACTTATTTAATTTACAATTTCAAGACGGTATACTTTCTCCTGTGAGAAAGTAATTTAATGACAATTTGTTATTTTCGGTGTGGCATTTCTGCTATGAAATGAAATAAAATAAAATAAACCGTTGCAAACGAAATGTAGCAAAGGGGTGAAGCAACACGGTCACGGTACGTCAAAACTATACCGATTTATAAAAAGTGAAGCCCCAAAACTACTTCTAAAACGGTCCAAACAAAAAATTCGACACGTTCGACCGTTGGCGTCATCACCGTGGCGCCGTGACCTTATAACCTACAACGCCCATCTTCGAACTCATCCGTACTTCAAAAATTAGAAACACGTCGGCGAAACCGCATGTCGAAACTCTAGTTCGTTTTTAAGTTATCGTGGATACAGACAGACAGACGGTCGGACAGACAAGACATTCCCATAAAGAGATCGCTTCATCCCCTTAATAAACTACGCTTCGCTCGTCGAAATTCTATCACAACCGGTTTTGGTAGCTTGATGAAGTCAAATTGCACCCATTTACGGCACATTTCTTTCCCCTGGCTGACTCCACTCCGACTTGTTCATCTCTCCCCTCCATATTTCTGTCGTACGAGAAAGTGCGAGAAAGTCGGTGGTGGTGTTGGTGGTTTAATGACTCGTCACTTTGCATCGTCTCTGTCAGTCAGTCAACTTTTTTTTTACTTTTACTTCACACAAAGCTTTGTCATTCTCTCGAAGTTAAATTGGTCGCACACTTTTTTATTCTCTTTCTAAAATTGTCAAAGAGTCGTATTTTCGTCGGAGTAAAATGCGTATGTAAGCATCATCATCATCAAAAGTGGTTGGTGGCGTATATACGATACTCGATGCGATAAGTGCCTCCCAGAATTGTTGTCGCGCTCTAATCTAATTAAGAATTCTGGCCTCCTCGTCACAATAAAGTGGATGGTTCGTGTTGCACTGATTCGATTCTAAGTATGCAAATCGTTTCTGCAGCAGTGCGTCGTCACGTAACACGAATTGTGCAAGTTGGTCGAATAATAAGGAGTCACTTGTACCTTGAGATTTGTGACGTGGAACGATAACGAATTATGATGCGGAAGTGAATAATTTATGTTAAGAAATAAATAATAAAATTTTAATTGTGTGTGGGTTTAACGCCGATTATTAAATAATGTAGAAATCATTAAGAAATTAGTGAATCCCAGATAAGATTTATCCGGGTATTAATCGATAATTATCGTAATTATGCAAATATATTAATTTTTCATATTTTTATAACGAATTACGATGCGGAAGTAAATAATTTATGTTACGAAATGAAATGAAATTGTGTGTGAGGGTCTAACGCCGATTATTAAATATTATGAGAAATTATGATAAAATTAGTTATTCTCAGATAAGATTTCTCCGGGCTGATAATGGATCAATGGATCATTGGATGGATAAGATTTATCCGGGTATTAATCGATAATTATCGTCATTATGAAAATAAACGAATTTTTCATATTTTTGTAACGAATTACGATGCCGAAGTAAATACTTAATTTATTCTCAAAAATAAAATAAAATTGTGTGTAAGGGTCTAACGCCGATTAATAAATGTTATGAGAAATCATTGAAAAATTAGTTAGTCTCAGATACGTCGGGTGTATACCGTGATATCATGATATCGTGATATCATGATTATGTAAATAAACCTAATTTCTCATATTTTCCCCTAATTTCAGACACTCTGATGCTACACCTTGGCCAATTCATTACCCAAACAAAAGATCAATAATCAATCAATAAATACGGAACAATGATGACTAATTTTCACCACCTTGGCACCTTTCTCCTCCTAATTGTCGCCCTCTCCTCGTCTGAAGTGTCGGCTTACAAGGTACGTAAAGTAACTGCTTTCTCTCCCCCACTTTCACCCATCCAACGTATTCATCATCAACAACATTGATTTTCTTCCCGGTTGGTCTCCCCTAAATAAATTATGACGAACAAAAACCCTCCTTCGGCAGAGACAACGGGAAACATTTCCAATTCCGGTAACAATAGGGCTCTCGCAGGTGAAATAGTACGTGGTATAAATTGGCTACGGGAATACGTAACAAAGGTGAAACTTTGTCCTTTCTCCGTGATATTTTCTGTGATCCGCTCGGTTTCATGGGAGCTTTTGGTGATACGTTTTCTTTGCCAAGTTCGATATAATTCTTCAGATAAGAAGATGACACAATGACACGTGACGAGATAATGATAACTTTTCCCACATTATTCATTTCCATAATGAAAATGAAAACTTTTCCAGTCCAGGAAACGATTTGAAAATTTATTGAAACCGAGTTGTACAGTGAAAGCATATAATTTGTCCGAATTAAGATTCATCACGCAGTCAGTCGTCTCCGGAAATAATGGAGGGATCATTTATCTCTGGAGGAAAAGTTGGGAGTTTGATGAGTAAGTTGAGCATATTTAAGTGAGTGAGGAGAAAAAGGAAGGAACAAAAATAAATGGAGTGACATGCGATCCTTGGAAAATGGTCCAGATGCTGAATGGGGGCACAAACCATGTTCAACCCCGATTATTTTTTGACCATGTTAGTTTGATAGGGCAACTCTTTAGAAATATTTTTTAGTGCGGCGCGTGCGCATATGCGAAAAATTCGGCAAGTTTTGGGCTCCACAAGTTCGCGAAAACGCGCAACTGCTGCCGCAAGGCATAGATTCTGCAGGAAAACTGAGCGTTTTCGCGAACTTGTGGCGCCCAAAACTTGCCGAATTTTTCGCATCTGCGCACTAAATGTTGTTTCTAAAGAGTTGCTCTTTCAAACTAACATGGTCAAAAAATAATCAGGGTTGAACATGGTTTGCGTCCCCATTGTAAGTAAGTCCACCGCACAATAGTACTTTCCATTCGGTTCGGTGGGTGGAGATTAAATGTGATAATTGAGTTGTGAGGGTGCATGGGAGCCATTGCTAAAACTGTCCTATTGAGGCTCAATAGGAGTGGAAACGCTATAGTGCATACAGATCACTCAATCAGAGTGAGAATTGAAGCGGGACAAGAGGGGGGAGGACACTTTCGCACAATTACATACACGCCACGTCCTCCATTAAGATACGTTACGAGGTAATATACGGATTCGAGGTGAATACTTAAATATGTTGAAATGAGACTGGGTGAGGAAGGATGGCTTTGCTGAGGGAGTTTTGTTCGGAAATGTAAAAATTGCGGAACAATTTCCGAAATTATTTATGAGCTGGAAAAGTTGTAGCTAATTATTGGATCAATTTTATACTATTTTATAATCTTGTACATGTGAGTTAAATGTCGAAACATGCAGAAAATATTAAGCGGCAAGTAAATCGGTCAAGTTTGTACAACTTTTTATGTTTTATTTCAAATTAAAGTAACAGTTTTTCTGACTAAATGTTTCAACTACAATGTTTGGGAATTTGTCGCAATTTCTTACCCTCTTTATATTTAATTTATTAAAATTAAATTTATTAAAAAAATGGAAATTAAGATCATGCAAACATTGTGAAACTTTAAGGTTTAACATGATTTTGTGAAAATTTAACAAGGAGAGTGAAACATTTAGATCAATCTCTTCTGTTACCTCATCGGCACGGGAATTTTGATCTGACTTCAGAATTGCAAAAAAATGGCAGTTTGAAACATTTACAAAAATGCTTCTACAATGTACATCAGAAAAAAAAATCTATTTTTCATTCAATATAGAATTATTTCTAAAATATTTTTATTCGACGCTTGTAAATTGCAAGTTAATTATTTGCTAATTTGCAATCCATACTTTTTTATATTTTTTATAAGCAATTTTTTTTTGTAAATTTACTAACCACTTTTCACCCCAAAAGTTCCAAAGGCTAAAGTGTAATTGTAACAGGAGTCTTCTTAAAATTCGAGATCAGCTCCGGAGAAAGTTGACACCTATGCAAAACATTACCTTTCTCAATTCACTAAAATTACTGCATTGGTTCCTAATAATTTTCCAATTAACACGATCTTCAACTCATAAAACAAGTGTACCCTCCTCCTTTGAAAATCTTTCATTATAAACACTTCACAATTCAAATATCTATCTCATCACTTCGTTAATTGACACCATTTCCTCCAACACGAGATCCTATTTAGGTTAGGTTGTTAAATACGGAATGTTACGTTACGTAACGACCCCTATCAAACTTCTCCGACCTCAACCACAACCAAATTTCTTTGAGTTGCAAAGTTTCTTTGAATCAAAATCAGACCATGTGAAGAAATGCGTTTGCCCTTTGAAATGGAAGCATTCAAACTTTCACCACCACCACGTCGACCACCTTCTTTCACAACCAACCAACAATTAATTACTTCCATTTCACCATCAAAAGGTGCCACGGGAAAGATCTGACATTTAAAATTTCCCCCCATTAGCCATAATTGCCACGAGTGGCTGTGGTTGACGTTACGCATAAAGGAAAGTTCCTCGAGGAAAACCAAAAGAACGCTCGTCTTGTTTGTGATCTGGCACGATTTATTATTCCACTTTGACTTTTCTTTCGAAATAAATAAGTACATGCATTTTTGTGGCTGCGGTGAAAAAGAGGGTGGGTGGATGCTGTCTGAGCAAGAAAAATTGCACTGCATCAATACCAACAACTCTGACGGGTCTTAATTTGAAGGGGTGCCATTTATTAAATTGTATAGATAAGTATTTATTAAGTGGGTTCAGATACTTTATGTGAAGGCTTTGTCCGTCCGTCCGTCTGTCTGTCAGAAGGATAACGGAAGTACGGATCGATATAATCGAAATCGGTTTGCGGGATCATACATATCGCACCAGGGGGAGGATCCTATCAACTTTTGGGGTAAATTGGACAACTCTCCTTTGCACCAGGGGGTGTGGTCGGGGGAAAATGAGATTTCTATTATTCATTAAATTAAATATTCCCACGCTGTCCTGCGCATCGTTGGGGTGCAGTGAGACTAAAGCTACTTCTTTATGTGCGTTTGCTGCCGTTTATTTCTAGAAATAGATGCACATCGTCCCCTAGCTCGGTTTCATTTCACCCCCAATAATAAAGCAATGAAGGAGTGAAAGCTATAAAATAAATAATGTGATTTCATTCCATACCATCCATCAGTCTCCATCATGACTAGACGAGCCTCCCTCCAATAACCAATTGTTTCAGAGAAAGTCGTAAATACTTTGGTTGAGACAAGAGTGACTCAATAATCGTTCCCCGTCAGTATCGCCTTCGTATGAGACGCCCTTCACATTTTACGACCAGTGGTGCACGACCACGACAAAGTATCGGCGGGTGTGGATAACTAGCTTTCTCTTTGTCATTCGTAATAAGTAGAGGATGGGTCGCAAAATGAGACGGCTATTTGGCCACAGAGAGACAGACTACTTTCTGCCTTTTATTTATTTAACCAGGATTCCCAACTTGCCGAAAGTAATGATAATGCTGAGTGGTTCATACTTCTGGAATGTTTCTGGTGCCATATGTGGGTTAAAAAGCTCACATTTTCTGCTGCTGCATAACTGACACGAAACCGACGAGACGAGTGGATTCATAAAAGAATAAAAGATGCATTAAAGGGATTAATAAAACCTTTCCTTGAGAGTTGTGTATCCCATAAAAATTCTGGTGATGCAACCCAATGGAAAATAAAGTCGACTTTTATTGAGAATATTTCACATTTCATTCCATTTTGATACGGAAAAAATACAAGGATTGACTAAAGTGCTGGAGTGTAGTGTATACTTTCCCCATTTTATGGAAAACAATGACCTTTTCTTTTACGATGGGTGTCCTCCTCGTAAAAGAAAAAAAATCCTCTTGACGTGTAGAACCAATTCTGTCAATCTTCTTCTATACTTTCACTTTGAGTCAAGTGCTGAAATAGTGATCAGTTCAGTTTATATATGTTTTTTTTACTGGAGTGAAAGTCCGTCCCATTTTTATTGACGATAAACTGTTGAGCATAAAGGAGTAAGGTTTGTCCTGTCCAGCAGCAGTCAGTTCTGCCCTGATTCTCTCGCTTTGTATTGTTCGGACTGACATAAAATAAAGGATGAGTGACTAACACGACACGTAAAATAAGCAGTCCGCCAGGAGTGTCAAGGCGAATAAAATGAAATGCTTTATTCCATCCTGACACAACAACAATAGCGCATTTTCGTCCGTGTCCATCCTACTTTTTTACGGGCATGGTACACCTGAATTGCATGGTTTTAGTACAAGAACACCATTTCGCAATGGTGAAAAAAAATCGTTTGCAAAAATTGGAATGTTTCCACCAAAATTTCAAGGACAAGGCCAAAAAATTTGTGGACACAAATTTTGTTACCCCAAAATGTTAAGATGCTTGTTAAAGTAGAAAAACATAAAATTGGCGACCTGCCAGAAATCGACTTTCTTCTCCTCCAAATTTCTTGAGCTTTTGATCCCTCCTCGACTTGACTTTTGCACTCGACTGGTCAATCACTGCTGGTGGAGAAAGTTGGCAAAAATGATTGGACAGCTTTCTCTTCTCTCTCTCCATGCATTTTTTGATATCATGTCCAAAAGACAAATCGATCCTACTCCATTGAATGACATGGTCCTTTGTTGTCTCGTCACGGTAAAATATGGCCGTCCAGTCCACTCTTGGATGGAAATCCAAATTATTATTGCTCCTCCTTTGTCATTTTGTGACGGAGTGACGTTCCCGGATCCGGGTAACAGGATGACTTTTATTTATGTACATATACCCGGTTTTTATCCCGTCGTAAAGTATATGGAGATATATATTTTTTATTGGAAAAATATGTAAAAGAGGAGAACCACGAATTTTGTAAAGTTGTGACATTTATGCTTGATTTACACCCAAGTATTTAGCTAT